AGGGTAATGCCTGATGGGCTAATCTTGCATCTGCCCACAATCCCTGAGTTTTTATAAAGTGGCTTGGCCCAGGGACCACTTAATGTAAGTGTTGGGCCCAATAGAAGCCCATGTAATGGGTTTCAGGGGGTGCACTGTCCACAACAGTGTATTCAGGGGGTGCACTGTCCCCAACTGGGCAGCAATTTTTGAGCACATAGACTTATTGGGCCTGAAGCCCATTTCGAACTTGCCTAATTTGATTAGTTAAATAGATGGGGCGGATCTGGGATTAAATCAGTAGATAGGATAGGGTCCTACCTTATCCACTCAGAGAGACCATATCTGAATTCAGATCTGAAAACCTCCTGATAAGATCAGGAGAAGGCTTATCTAATCTGCAGATAAGATAAGGGTCTTATCCTTATCACTTGAAGAGAGTCCAGATTCAGATAATGATCTGAATTAGGAAACTCCTGATAGGATTAGGAGTTGATCTCTTTAAGTCTATAAAAGCAAGAGGGGCGAACCATCCAAATCATCCAAGGAATTCCAGAGATACCAGATCTCGAATTACAGAGAGAAGAATACATAGTGTGACTGCGCCTTCTCCCTGTGATCCCTTCCTGCCGCCGCCATACTGCCAGTTCGTTCTCCAACATTGTAGGAGTGATCAAGATTGGATCTTGACATCAGTCTTTGCTGAAAGGCTGATAGAAAGTTGTGCTCACTGCCTCCATTGGATTCTTGCTGAAGAATTCGGTTCGTGGGACGGACCCTACTGATTCTGCATCTTGACATCAGTCTTTGCTGAAAGGCTGATAGAAAGTTGTGCTCACTGCCTCCATTGGGTTCTTGCTAAAGAATTCGGTTCGTGGGACGGACCCTGCTGATTCTGCTCCTCCATCCACTGTGTCATCTTCAGTGGGAGCAGTCTTTGGTGATCTTCTTTGGGCGTGAACATCTCCATTGAGAGATATTATTTCTTTGTATCAGGTATATCCCCCTCCTACTGTTTCGTTTCAAATCTGGTTCGGTTTATAGTTCAAGATTGATCCTTGAAAAATATGACTTCTAAAAAAAGGGAATATGATTCCCAGTTGAAGGAAGAGAAATTTTTTAAATTCGCCCACCCTATTCTGCAGCTTTTGGACGTCCATATGATGGATCTCACATCTCTTCAAGAATATCATCAGGGAATGCCAAAATTTAGCATCCATGTTCAACCTTAGTTTGATGTTCAAGCATATATCTAATTATAATTCAAGTAGTTTTGATCTCATTTGTCTAGCTGATCTGTGGGGAAGATAGAGTTACCCCGTCTTGTGTAGCTCCTCTGATTTCCTATTAAAAAAAATAAGATTTATTTAATTTTATGAGCTACCCCGTCTTCTAAGCCTTATGGGGTCCACTACATGTATCTTATTTTGAACAAGTTGCTCATGCCCTATCATGAGAATAAAAAGACTTAACCATCATACTTCGTTAACGCGATTCACAAAAACACAATGGAAGAAAAGAAGTAAAGATGAAACATAACGTTTAATGTTTAGGGATTTTTATAGTTAGTCCACCCCTAGGAGGAGCTAAGATTTCTAGGGGTGGATTGAATCCAGTCCGTGGATTGATGCCAAATTTATAGGTAGGATGTGGTTTTTAGGGGGGCTACTAGTAGAGTAGAATAAGAGGGGGTTGTAATTTTAGATTTATAAGGGGGAGCTAATGTTTATGAGCTTTTTCAATGATCTCAACTGTCCTCTCCACATCCAATCTTAGATTCTTTGTTGTGAGTCAAGCAAAGCATCAAACAGCTAAGCCCCCAAAGTGTTGTGAAAATGGAGTTTTCTTTCTTCGTTCTCAATAATCTATATTTAAGAAAAATTCCCGATTACTACCCTATTTTGGGCCTAGTGCCACACTGGTCCCCAAACATTAAAATGCGACAATTCAGTATCCAAACTTTTAAAACGTGACAATCCAGTACATCTCGTTAACTAGTTGTTAACCAGTCGTTAAGTGACATTTGAAAAAGACACAAATGCCTTTCAAGCAATGCTTTCAAACCGTTGTTGACCCGAACATTCAGACCAAAAACCGTTCAGGCAACCGGTTTCGTTTTACCCCAAACCCGGCATTTGGTCAAATACCATTGAATTAGTCAACAAACTGTTGATCCGAACACTTTGACCGATAAACCATTCGACCCAGTGAACGGTTTGCTGCTCAAATCTCGGATCTAAGAAATCTTTGAGATTGAGAAATTTCAGATCTAAGAAATCTTTGAGATTGAGAAATCTCAGATCTGTCTTTCTCGCGCGAGAAGGTGAGAGAGAGAGAGTGTGTGAGATCTGAGACTGAAAACGCCGCCGCTATAGTTTACCATCGCCGTCGCCGCTGTAGTTTGCCATCGCCGTCACCGCCGCTACAAGCCTGTAAGTCCTCTTCATCTTCTTCTTCTTCTTCWTCTAAACTCTTTCAATTCAGCTGACAATTTTCTTTCAAGTTTCAACCCTTATYTTCTCTTATATAGTATGCATCTTACCCTAATATTCCAATCTAATGGGTAAGATGCTCAAACAATTCAAACTGTTTGACCCAAATGATCGAACCACTAACCCGGAAACCGATGGCCATAACGGTTCTCTTTCCGAATAAGTTTTTAAAACCATGCTTTCAAGTGTTATTTAATTTTTTTATCAACCATCTAAACGTTGACAAATAATTGGTAGTCTAAAATCTTTGCCTTTCCCATTCAAGAAAATAGGGGTCACATTTGAGTGGGCATTCTGGTGACCCCAACTTTCTTAAATAAAAGAGTCAAGAATTTGAGACTGTTAATTTTTTGTCGATGTTTGGATGATGATAAAAATAATTAGATAACACTCAAAGAACATTTGTGTCTTTTCAAATGCCACTTAACGACTGGTTAACAACCGGATAACAGCAGGTACTGGATTATCATGTTTTAAAAGTTCAGATACTGAATTGTCACATTTTAAAGTCCAGGGTCCAGTGACACTAAGACCAAAGTTCAGGGTACTAATCGGAAATTTTCCCTTTAATTTAATTAATGTTTAATCTGTTTTTACAGGGTTACCACTCAGAAATTAACGCACCATCATAAATTTTGAGGCCTAAGACTTTGTTTCCCATAGAAGAGACTGTTGAGGCTAGAAAAATTGGCCCTGCTGCCTCCTTGTGGCATATGCTCTTCTCGTCTCACAGCCCTTCAATAACATGGTTGCCACTGCTGAAATTTGAACATATAACTGGCTTTCGCATTCAGATGCTAGAAAAAAAAAAAAAAAAAAAAAGAAAGAAATTGTGGGAAGCATACATTATAAGCTCCTTAAAGAGAATCAAATTCCTAGCACTATCTACTGAAATAACGAAGATAATCTACAATTCCTAGCACTATCTACAAACTAGTTGTCAATACCAGAGTAAGGCTGCATTTGGCATTCCTTATTTTAACGACTTATCTCCTTTTTACTCCACCAGTCCCAACCCAGATAAAGGAGGGTTGTGTCAGGTAGGCAGCCAGCACTAAAACTTTGGCTAAACACTCATGGTCATATATTCTGATTTATCTTT